TTGCCGTGACATGCCTACAGTCTTCAGGAGGTTAGGGAGCGTGGATCGATTCCTGTACAGACAAACCTTCACTTCCTTCTGAAATATGCTCGAGAGAAACGTAGGACATTAAAACTTCTTTTAAAAAGCCATTAAAAATTGGAAGAATGCTAAAAGGAGAGCGTTAGATCGGATATATTAAATCTCCAGTGGTAGAAGGATGATGATGATGAGTGTTAGATGTTACATCTGAGGAATCTACTTCAACATCAGACTGATCGAGGTAAAACAACAGATATGTGACGTGTGACTGAACTCAGACGGAGAATCAAGCGTGATGGCTGACATCAAAAACACCTGTGCTGCAGCGCCGCCTGTCGCACACTCATCCGACACACGAAGGTCAGAACTACGTTATAGAGCGAGGAATCTTGCGAGTCCATGTAAATTCCCTCCACGGCCACAGCTCGAGGCCGCAGTGGTTTGCAAAGTGACTGAATACATCCAGCTTTAACCTGCAGCTCAACAAACATGCGTCAGTGCCCCTGAAATTAAAACGCACTTTGTTAAAAAAGAGAGATAAAAATGCACCAAGTGAAAAGATCTGACGTAAAATCAGGCAAAAATACTTTCGACTCACTAAATGTTTGGATTTTCAAGAGGCAGAAAGAAAGAACTCAAGTTCTGTTTGTGAAAGAGGAAAGTGGACTGAAGTAGTTTGATTTGAATCATTTAGATCTGAAGGACCAGCACGAAAAGTTGTAAAATGATAAAAAAGTAAAATTGACATCTGTGAAATCATTAAGAAAGAAAAGACACTAAGGTAAAAACGACATTGTCTGACCAACAGTCCAGACCTTTGGTAATGCATAGTTCCTTCCTGAATGTCTCACACTAACCATCGTAAACTGTCAGCGGCTGCTGTTCGAAGCCCGTCTAAAAAAATAAAGAGCAATGACGATAACAAACTAACGGCTCTTTTTCTTCAGCTTGTAGTTTCTGCTTTGTACAGCTTCAGCAGTTTTGGCTTGTTTGGTTTTTCTGGACCAAAGAGATAATCTAGAGCAGAGCGGTGAAGCGGCCCCCCTCTCCTCTGACCACGCAGCCTGATCCCTCCGCAGCCGCTCTGCCGCTTCAGGGCAGGAAGGGTTCGTCCTCGTCTTCGTCCGCGCTGGGACCCGGGTCACTGAGGCACCTCGTCAGCTTCTGCGGGTCTCTGGACCCGTCCCCCTCGGCCGGCTTGTTAGGTCCCCTCTGCCCGTGGGGAGGCTTCATCATCAGGCCCTGCTCCTCCTCCTCCTCCTGTTGCTGCTTGGCCCGTCTGAACTCATCCATTACATTGACAGAGTCTGGAGACTGAGGGGAGGCCAGGTCTACCTGGATGGTCGGCACGCTGTCCGACACTTGCTTCATGCTGTAGGCCTCGGGGTCTATAGGCCGGACAGGGACACAATATCAGGGAATTCGCTTTAATACGGATTTAAAAAATCATTCAGTCATTCCATCAGTGTGCGAGAACATATGGAGTAAAGGGACGTGGAAATAAATAAATAAGGTCAAGAAAGCTCCGCTGCACAGCAGACGACAGGAGGCTTTCAAAGACCTTTCCACAAATCTAACAATACAACAAACACAAAGGTCACAATCCTTTATGAAGCAATAACTCCACAAAACACAAACTGAAGTTCCCCACATGTAACATGCTGTTAACAGCAGGACTCTTTACTCCTCGGCTGTGATTAATCACCTGAATGTGGCTTTGTCAATCACGTCATGGTTCACAATTATCATTAGTAATGAATAATTAATGGTTGTTAACAGGGAGGGTAATTGGAGCATGCATGTTAGGAGTGCTGCTGGGTTATCACTCGAAATGAACATTCTCTACGCTCGCTCGCTACCTACCTGCACCGACTGTGGTCCCTTTCTGCTGCTGAGCAGGAGTGAAATCAGTATCTCTCCCTAAAAATGAAACCACACACTGGTTTACACGCCGGCCGTTAAGAGCAAACACGTTTCCATCGGTGGGGAAATATCTGTTGCCGCAGCGGTGGAGATCAGCAGCTGCCTTCCTGCAGCGTTTAGTGAATTCTGCTTTGTGAGCCTCGCACAATATTATGACCGATCCTCGTGGGTCCCATCAGCGACACTGTGAATTCCTCCCGTCGGGTGGCGTGGTGCCTGACAGTAAAATGCTAGTGGATATTGAGTGTTTTTGCGTTTGGCTGAGACAGATGTGTTTACCTGAGGACAGTCTGGCTCGACGCATTGTCGGGGAATCTGGAGGAGCCGCGGGCACCGTCAGGTAGTTATTCATCTCCTTTATCTGGGAAAACACAAGGACACGGTTTGTTTACGGAATGACTGCTCTGTTCCACAATGAAACTTCCATAATTGTTTTCTAGCAAAATGAACAGAAGTTCAGATGATAGAAAAATGAGAAAAAATTACTGTTGTGCCTCATTCCCTTGTTTTGGAATCACAGCAGCCAAAATTAAAGAGTTCAGCAGTTCTCCATTAATCAACATCTTAAACTAACTTCATTAGAATTATGCGCTGCTTTCTTGGCCTCTCAGAATTTCTCTCGAGGCCGCGGGGGCTTCAAGCACTTTCGATTTAAACAAAACAATCTATTTTCATTATGTAATTACAGGCTGATGAAATGGAAATTTGTGGTTGGGCCCCTCGACCGAGCAAATAAATCATCTCCCGTTTGTGTCACGAAAATGAATTTAGGAGACTGGAGGTAGGACTGGATCAAATCATAGTTTTGCCTCAATCATTTAGCTGCTGGAGGTTCGTTATGAAAGGAGAAGAGCCGCTCTTCATCTGTGGGCGGTTCAGAGTCGTCTGTGCTTCTCAGGTGTGAACACAAAAACAGCCACAAGTCGTACCTTCTTCTCCAGCTCAATCATCTTCTGCTTCTTGATGAGTAAGTCACTGAATCCATCTTCAAACGGATCGGCCATCAGAGTGTGTCTGTTGTAGGAGCGCAGCTGAGAAAGAAAAGACAATTTAATGGGGAAATAATAAAAGTTGAAATTTATGAAACCTGCAGAAGAAATGAGACAAAAAATACTTCTACTACAGCGAAATGAGTCGTCACAAGAGAACCAAACCTGAACCAGTGTCAATCAATGTGAACAAAGTGCTTTTCTGTGTCTCTCAGTGTTTCTCTCACGTTTGTATGAGTCGATGTATGAGCAGAGCTGCTGATTACCGAACCACAACACAGTCAATACACTAAGTAATAATACAGGGGTCATCTATACAAATCAGTGCTGTGATGAAAACAACTGGTAACACAAGATGATATATCTTCAGCTGAGAAAACATTGTGTCTTCATATCGCAGCGTGTTACCCTCTGTCGTGTCTTCTGAAGGTTGCTCCTCAGGATCTTCCTGATCTCCTCCTCCCTGCCTTTAGTCAGCTGTGGCAGAGCTCTCTCTGCAGACTTGGCAGGAGGAGGCTTCTTGGGCTGAATGTTCCTGAGGAACACAAAAAGGAAATGCACCTGAGTTTTAATCTCGCGGGTCAGAGGAAACTACGTTTCATCCCTGTCGCTTGTTGCTTTTTGCGACAGCACACAGTTTGTTAGTTTCTGTTTTGACAGTTTGGTATCTGTGAGGTGAAAAGTCCTTTTTTACGAGTTTCATTTGTCTGACAGGTCTGATCTCGTCTGTCTTTGGTCTGAGTGCAGCAGAGTGTAAAGGTCCTGTGATCAAACTGGTAACAGAGGGGCTGTACAAGAATGTCCGGGTCAGTTACTCTGATATTTTCCAGAACTTTTCCTGCCTGTGAGCCTTGATGACGAGATTCAAGAGCTTTTGTCACAAACCCATGAGATATAAAATTCTTCATACCTGTGGATAAAAATCTTCCTTAAAAAGAGAACCTAACATATTTACTTTAAAGGAAACTAAAATGTCACCATCAAGCTCCAGGAAGCTGCACAGCTCACTGGATGATTCTGTGACCTCTTTTACATTGTGATGTATAAAATATGGATTATAGCTATTTTGGTTTTCTGATGTGATCACTCTAGACAAAGCAACTCAACACTCACTGCATGGAGACGGTGGAGGGAATAGCAGCAGGCAGCTTGACTCCCCCGCCGCTCTCCACCAGCTCAATGGCCTGTTTAAACTCCATCTTGTGATAGAAGGCGATGAGCTGTGGCTCCTTGGAGCGTTCGCCGGCAATCAGGCACTTCTTCACATACTTCTTGTTGAAGCGGTTCAGTCTGAGCAGAGGAGACGAGCAGCAGATGAAAACACAGACCAGAGGTTATACAGAGACACGGGACGGCTGGAATAATTATCTGATCATGACAGAAAATATATTGATGATCAATCATTTAACTAATGATATGAGCCAATTGGACATTTCTTCAAAGTTTCAGAATCAAAGATTTTCTTGCATCTCTTGATTTAATTAAAGACATAACTTTGAGCTTGGGTAAATTTTAATGAGGATTTGTCAACATGTTTCACATTGAGCGATGGAAACAGCTGATGACTTTTAATGCAAAATCCATACTTGTCCTTCCAGTGGTGGTGTCCATAGTGTCCACAGATGTCCTCAATTCCAGTCAGGAGGTGGTCGAGGAACTGGGGATGAATAAGAAAAGAGAAAATGATCTTTAAAGCTGCAGAACTGGGATCAGATCAGACTCTGAAACTGGTCCCTGAGACGTGTTTTGAATTGTTTTATAGCAAAGCAAGAGAACGGTCGTGTCTCTCAGTGCAAACTTAGATCTGAAATACCCGACGTTCCAGAGCCCACGTTACAGCTGCTGTAGTGGAATGTCATTAAAAATCAATAACTGAGTCTCACAATGTTTTCAAATCATCACTACGCACAGTTTACAACTTGTAGACAAAATGAGTTTTTTTTTAATGAATAAACTTCATCCAAACTTGACGATATTAACATTATTAGCAGTGACTCTGCTACTGCACGTTATCTATTACCATTCGTCAAAGTCACATCACCCTCCCTGGACAGACAACCGACATCATTATCATCGACAACAGGTTTTAAAAACGGAGAGCGTCTGTTGCTCTCGCTGCTGCTGCCGGGTCCGCGGGTCGCCCTGGTGCTCTGACAAAGCCTGACAGCCTGACAGGCAGCGTTGCTATGGGAACAAGTCATTAAGTGGAGCTGCAGAATTTACTTGTGCTTATTCAGAAGTGACTGATTAACATAAAGACTCTCCAGCACTGCAGGGGTCGGGTGAAACAGCAGCTACTGTATGAAGCGTCTCTGTGAAGGTGTTGTAGGGGTGAGAAAAATAATGAATACACATCTATATATATATTGAGATACATTCTGTACTAGTCATAGTATCTATATATATCTATATATATGCTGCACATATACATGGGCTTAAACTTAATTTAAACTTCTAATCAAATGTTTGATAGACAATTGTTTTTACACATTATGCAGAAAACACAAATTATTACATTTCTTTTTATCATCGGGTTGTGTTTTCCTTTTTTGCAGTAATGTTGTGATAGACTATACGAGATTGTCCCACAATGCAGTGCAAAAAGCATTTATCTCCTGTGCTGTGATACCGTGATCATTCTGAGGAACAGAACTGTATTTATGTTGTTTTTCTATCACCACCTCTAATACAAACAGACTAACGTATCTTTAAAAAGCTGTTTGAATGGATCCTCAGCAGATGGAGTATGTGACTTCGCTGCTTGTCTAAATAAATGAATGAATGAATCACAAACTACATGACAGACGACTGGGTAGCACAACATCTGAGGCCCAGTAGGACTCCGTACTCAAGCAGCTCTGTTGACTCTGACCACTGGTGTTTTACAGTGGAGGAGGAAAAACCCTTTGGACAAACTTCTCTTCCAGCCTGGAGCACTGGAGACTCACCACAAAGCCCCAGAGACGCTGTCTGTGGTTATTTGTGTATAGTTATGCACTGTGACCGTGTCCATGTGTCTTCCTATCTGAGCTGTGTTAAAGGAGGATGGACCAGGGTCAATCATGAATTTGGTGTTAAAAGGGTTTGAATTTAAAGAATTGAGCAACAAAATTCAGAATGATGTGTATTTTAAATTTCTAGTCATTTGCGTTCTGTGTTTCAAACCTGAGCATTGCTAAAAGCACCATATGAACAAAAAGTATTATTTTCATTATTACGAGGTGAAGTACCACCACACAGCCAGTAGGTGGAAGCAGCATTCAAAATGTGATCATCTGAATGGCCTCAGAGCAAAATTACAACAAACATCAAAACGTTACTGTTTGTGTGGAAACTGATATAAACGGTTATATCATTGATGAAATCATTGAAGCTGAGTAAATAGAGATGACTCATTAACAAAAGGTTGGTCACTAAAAGAGGAAGAATTTATGAATATTTCCTGTGTCACATTAATAATTTCCTGTGGTTCCAACCATTTCAAGCTATTCTGACATTTCATTGATTACCTGCACACACAAACATTCTAAACCATCAGGAAATCATCGGCTTGAGGCGATGAAGGCCGACGATGTGCTGATTTTACCTGGGTGTGGATTTCCTCATTAATCGTGCGCTTGGCCTCCTGTTTCTTCTTCACTGCCAGCAGCTCCACCAGGGGTTTGATGGTCATGCCCTGCAAGAGGAGTGAGAGGAACAAAACATGATTCACTGTGAACACTTCCTGACCTCAGCGAAAAGCAGAAATAGCCTCCCCTCAACCAGTCGAAGCAAGAGTGGAGTATACGAACGCCACATGTGGGCTTTGAAATATGTTTCTGAATTATACTTGTGATGTTTTTGTGTCAGAGTGATCGGTCGTCTCTATGACACTGATCAGGTCACATCTGGATCACAATGCAGACAAGGACCTGGAGTATAAACCTTGATGTGTCACAAGTCGAATCTTTCAAGTTTTGCAACATCTGATTAACAAAACCTGCAGATTTTCACACAGCGTTTCACAAAAAACTGTCGTCTCTGATGCAAATCTCTTGTCACTGTAGAGGATGACAACTCCTTCTAGTAGTAAATTGTGTTAAAGGATAGTTATTGTTTGTTCCGTTGTTCCATGGACATTCATCTGTGAAGTATTAGGGACATAGAGCAGTTTAAGATTATCTACAGAAATCCTGACCTGCTAAAACTATGAAGTTGTTTATGTGCGACACATTGTCAGTGACAGTAGAGTTAGCATTCTAATAAGTCACCTAGTACTGTGATTACATTCTGAAGAGTGTGATCGTACACACAACACAAGTGTACGCACCATATGTGTTCCTCTGAATGTGGTTGTAATTTTAAACCGGAACACTTTTGTTAAACCTGTCAAACCTGTGTTCAAACTATAAAACCCAGAGTTCAAATTCCCCTTTCCTCCTTTCTTTTTGACACAAACACAGATTTTCAGATAATTGAAGAAGCTAAAATGTGTCTCCATCTTGAAACCATTATATATTTATGAGAAATGTCTCGACGTTTAATCCCATCGTCTATTTTTGGACATTTATCAAGAGGATTAAGAAAAATGCAAAATGACTGCACCTAAAGGCTTGAGCATATCATTTTGCTTTTAAATAGATTAAACTGGGCATCTGGTTAAGTGTAATATCTTAAAGTGAGTAACAGAAGATTTCTGCTCTTTCTGCCAGCAGACAATGAACTTGCACTTCTGTCACCTCGTGTTGATTCCAAATAAACCACACAAACCTGGATATTAAATGTATTCCTTCACCCTAAACAAGTAGAAATGTCATATATGATGGTTATTCCTAATATTCAGGTGGCACTTTAAGCCAACAGGTTAAATTTTAAAAATGTCATAATGAGGGAACGAGGTAAATGAATAATTCAAAATCCTTTCCTCGAATTCTTTGCAGGAAAAATCTGAAGTATAGACGAGAGATTTATGCTCAGTGTGAATTTAATTCTTCTGCGCTTGTGATAATGTTCGTTTCACATTAACACAACATATTAACACAGTCTCTCTTTTACCAAATTGTCAACCTCAGCTTACCCACCTAACCTGACTCACGTGGCACTTGTCAATAAATGAATTATACTTAAAATAGTTTGAGTAATCAATGAGATATTAAACTAGAAATCATAAGTTGTACTGTAACTATTACTGCATCCCACTCTCAATCCCAGTCTCACCTGCACAGTTATACTTTAAAGGTGGAGTGGGTGTCTACCTTCTATCTGCCTCAGCATCAGGCTGCCAGTGCTCAGTCGAGTGCCATGAATAAAACATTGTTTCTAATCCAGCCTCAGAGTACGGGGCACGTCTCAGGGTTTTATTTTAGCTGCTGCCATTCTGGGTCCAATTCACGTCCAACAAGATTTCTGCAGTTTTTCCCGACAGCCTTGTTTATCTGAGCGGATGCAGTGCACAGTGCTTACGTACACAATCACTTCCTGTGTGGCTTTGACTTGCCTTCATGTTAAGGTTGTTGTATGTTGTCTTAAGGCAAAGAACAAACTGAACCGGAAGGTCATCTTCCCCTAGAACACATTTTGTATTCTTTCTGCACGTTTTGATTTGTGTGTGTATTAAGCTCACCTTCCTGTCAGCGTGCTTTAAAGTGGTTTCATGAAATTTGATTTAAAAGCCCAGCTGCAGATGTTTACTTCGAGAGCGAAAAAAACAGTAAGAAAACATGAACACTTGAGGTTGAGGGGCTGACGCATCATGAGGACGAGACTTTACTGTAATATGACGTTCTTCCTATAAATATATATGAAAAACTGATTTAATCTTTAAATCTCAGCTTGTCCAGTAGGAACAAGATTCATTGTTCTGATCTACACTGGTTTTGTTTTTGTTATTATTGGGTGAGCGACAGAAAATTTGAATAAAATCCACATTGTTTTTGTATGAGTGCAGAGGACAAACAATGTGCAATGTTTAATTCAATGGAGGTGACGAGTAGAAGCTCACAGAAAAGTTTAAAGTTCAAAAACTAAATTAATTGCCTACGACAAGGCAACAACTTAAAGAAGGCTACAACGCAGGAAACCAGGCCTTAAAAACAGGACGACCTGTACATGGTAGTCGCACCTGTACGAAGACTGTGAAGAAGATAACGGTGATGATGGCCGTGAGGAACATCTCTCTCATGGGGAAGAGATTCTTGTCCAGCAGGAAGCCAAGGGAGAAGGCGATGGCCCCTCGCAGGCCACCGTACGCTATAATGAACTGGTCCTTGGTCGTTAGCTTGACAATGCGGAACTTGTTGATGAAGTAGGTCAAGCCAACCACACCTGGGAAGGAAGACACACAATCAGAAACTGAGGTTGGGTTTGTGTCATGTACGTTTACATCTGTAATAGATGCAGGTCAAACAGCATTCTTTCCAACAGTAAATAATTAAGTAGATGCGCCTCAGTGTATTTTTCCTTATCTCTCATTTGTTCTCAATGGGTCATGCTCCATTACAGTGAAAACCAAACCTGCTTTATTCACCCCAAAAACATTTGGCTCCATGAGTATGGATTGTTGACTCTTTTTTTTTTTAATCAATCTGCACGTGGCCGACATGGTTTTATATTAACGAGCTAAGTTTATCTTTAAGAAAAGCGTATCGCAGTGATACAAATGGAAACTAACTGCTGACTGGACAGTCAAGTATTTAAAACTAAATAATACTTTAAAAAATTATCAGCAGTTAAACATGTGATTTTTTTTTCTGTAAATAATCCAAATCCTGCAAAAACATTTAAATGGTAATTTAGCCGACAAGACAATTTAAATTATTTTCCATTACTGAGAAAACTATTTAGTCGCAGGATTTTGTAGGAACGTTTGCTGAAACCCTCATCAGCTCCTGAAGCGAAGGATGTTAAATAAATTCATGACTGAAAACATAATTTCACTTTCAGCCTCTCTCTCCTAAACAATACCAGTAACTGTCACATGACAAATGTTCAGCAGAACTTGTGACAGCCTGAAGTCAACATTAAAATCCTGTTGGCTGTTTGCTCACACACCTGCTGTGTGCAATGAAGCAGTGATTCTGGCCACAGCTCCCAGTTCCCTTTTTTAAAAAACAAGGTCTTCTTACAAACATAAAAAACCTTGTGGTTAAAAATAAAATTAATTGAAAAATAAATTGTACCTTAATCTCCTATAAAATTTAACTTGTGTGTTTTTGATTAGCATATAAACTCTATGGATGAATATGAATCTGATCTCATAATGAATATAATCTCAAGAACCCACAACATTGCAAGTTTACAACACTTCCTCAGCTGCTTGTTAACACCTATTTCCGCTTTATGTTAATTCACAAGCACGGAGCCATGATAGAGCAGTGGAGCTGACCTATGACCCGTGCCACCAGACACAGGATGACGGTGACAGTGACGAAGGTCCAGTTCCACAAGTGGGGTCCGTCCACCGTGGCTACGCCCAGAAAGATGAAGATTAGCGTCTCACTGACGCTGCTCCACATTTTCAGGAAGTACTTAATGGTGGTGTGGGACTTGTGGGATATGTTCGCTTCCACGTAGGGCCGCATCACTGCTCCACACGCTATCAACCTGGAAGGAGGCAAAGAGGCAAATGTGGGCTCAGTTTATAGAATTAGATATTTTACTAGTTTACTTCTTTCCAAATTTGTTGTTCTTGTTACAAAAGCTAAGATGTGTTATCCAAACTGAATAAATGTCATCTGATAATGGGAACATGTGACACAGACAAACATGTCACCATCCCTGTCTGGTGACCACTTCTCTATTCCTTTCTTGTGTCATGCAGTGGAGACAACAAACGTGATCCGAGTTAGATAAACCGCAACAGCTGCTCAGCGGTCACAACATTCTTCTTCCATGTGAATATTGGTTCGGCCTAAAGGGCTTTAGAGAGACGATAAAAGGAATTCGCAGCAACAATCCAACTTCTAACACATGATACGCAATAACGCAAATCCACCGAGACAAATCCAGTTTTTGATGTGAGAGGCAATATAACAGCCACAGGCACCGGGGAACAGATTGTCCTTGAAAGTGCAGATCCATCGGCCCTGACACACGAGGGGAGACTCAGTATATTATCACCTCCTCCATCCAACATCAATAACACCTTGCTACGTAAAATAGAGGGGGATTGATGAGTGCTGGAGGAGCTGATGAGAAATGGCCCCTCAGAGAATGTTGAGATGCCAGTAAATTTAGGTTCGGTTTAGATGACACTGGGTGAGATTAATTCATTAGACCCCTGGTTACCCGGAGTGCAATCCAACATGATGTACAGCTGACTTACTGTCATAGACGCGGAGCTGGAATGGATTTTCCCTGCAATGGCAAGGTTGTCTAGAGACCTGACATTTAGTCCCAGATGGAAGAAAAACATATTTACTAGAATTTGCACCTTGCAGCTGCAGGATGCAAACAGAAGATGCAGTTTAGATTCATGTCTTTCTAGATTCATATTATTTCTGTAGTGCAGAATGCTATGATGGTGCAATGAAGTTGACCTTTGACCTACTGGATGTCTTATTGTCAGTCTTACTGATCCCATTTACTTAAGAGACATTTATTGATGGCATATGCCCATAAACTTACGCCATGATGCCAGAGAGGTGGAACATCTCCGCCGACAGGTAGGCCATGTAGCTGTACACAAAGACAAAAAGTGGCTCGATGACACGTGTGTGGGAGGTGAAGCGCGAGGTGAAGGCAGCCAGGAAGCCGTAGATAGCCCCCACTAGAATGCCACCCAACGCAACCACCAGGAAGGAGATGATTCCAAGGAAGCCATCCATCACCGTCACTGTACCGACGGCTGTGTACTCCTCAAAAAGGTGGTATAGTACCTAGGAGGGGGAGGAATGGAAAAAGAGAAGAGGGAGGGAGAGAATGAGGGTGAATAACAACAACACTATTCACTATGTAACTCTATTGATTCTCTGATTAATTCAAAAGAGGAAGATGGAATAAAGTCATGAGTCATGATGGACATTTTTGAAAATAGATTTGACCTCTGGTGTTGTTACACAGTCAATCACAAATCTAAAGCCAAAGGTTCCAAAACATTTGACATCATTACAAAGTCAAGTGGAATGAAGCCTTGACTTGACATCACTCTGTGTTGCAGGGATATTATTTCTTTTAAAATTAGTTTTGTAGGAAACCAAAATCGGTTGGTCAATTCAAACCCTTGTTAGCCGGCAGAGTTTACCTGTGCCAAATGGATAAAAAAGATGCTCTGAGTCCTGTACCAAGCATTTGCTAAGCATTTCACTATAATGCCAGGCCATGCAGATCGGCTGCCAAGTGCTCCTCAGCTGATGAATGAGCTCTGGCTCTCACTGCAGTCAATGACAAAGTCCAGCTCAGTGTAAATGTGCACTGAGGCTAAACTCGTAGTTCAACACATGACCTTGAAACAATGGCCTTTGAGAAATGACTTCTGAAAATATCTGGCACAATCTCCGGTGCAGGAATGATTTGTGCCAGTCAGAAAACACCAGACTTTAAAAAGAAAGTTGGTGACTCAGGCAGCGACGATGTGAGTAATTTTGTTACAGTATTTGAACAGGTCAGATAACAGCTGGTGTTCCGCGTAAGCTGAGAATAACTAGGAGGTGCCAGACTAGTCAGATGATCATGTGCTATCTGTTTGCAGATTAAATCTTACAATGAATTCAATGCCCCATAGCGTGATCTGTATACATCACCCACTGACAGAGGTTTTAGCTTTGTCACAGTCTGCTGAGCAAAAGTTTGAATTTGTCTGAGCAAGAAGTCTTTCGGGGTGAAAAGGTTCAGGAATGACTTGATGAATGATGCTCTACAATGTTTATGGTTTCTCTGGACAGCAGAGTTGCTACTGCACCTAATTATGGCTGCAGTACTGACACAGGAGCTTCTGAGAGGTACAAGCAAAACTGTATCTGTGCTATCATTTAGATTCCTGACAGTCTTCACTGGAGAACAGATAAATCAATAAATGCATTCCCTCATAACAAATGGCAGCGCCAATCACACTGCACTCTGTTTCTTTATCCGGTCGCTCACCACAGTGACGGCATCGTTCAGCAGTGACTCCCCAAACACCAGGATGTGCAGCAGTTCGTTGATGTGGATCTCCTCAAACACAGCGAGCACAGCGACAGGATCCACAGCTGAGATGATGGAGCCGAACAGCAGGCAAGGCAGCAGCTCTAGGTTGTAGGGGTTCGACGGGTTGTTTGGCTGGATCTGAAACACAGCGTACAGGAGGCCCCCGATGAAGAAGGCATTCCACAAGGTCCCCACCACAGCGAACATCAGGATGGTGCCCATGTTCTCCATGAAAGGGCGGATGGGCAGGAAGTAGCCGGCATCCAGGATGATGGGCGGCAGCAGGCAGAGGAAGAACAATTTTGAGTCCAGCACTGGTGGGACCTCCTCTCCAGCCACTTTGATGAGCCCCCCCACCAGCAGGCCCACCACAATCAACAGGCAGCTTTCTGGCACAATGTTGGACAGACGAGGAATCAGGTGGAACCCTGGGAGAATGGAGGGAATGGAGAGATAAGATACAATTAACACAGCAGAGTTCATTGCTTCAGGCTGAAACTTAACTGGAAATCTTTCTTCCAATCTGTTTTCTTACTTTTAAAAATGGAAACAGTGCAAAAAGCAATCTGAAAAATCATTACAGGAGCAACCAGCTGTGACATACTACACTTCGGTGAACATCAGCAACCCCCTAGACGACAAATTAAAAACTTCTGCTTTATGTGTAGTGTCCGCTCTGATGGTAGACTGCCCTCTCAGGAAAGTAAAACACTACTGTGTGTACAAAGTGTACAAATCAATGCAAGAAAGTTTTTGTGAAGGTTAAGTTAAGGTTGTTATGTGAGAAAAATGCATAGATTGCTGTGTTGGCGATGCAGCGTGTCGATGCTTGTCTGCACCCATTTGCCTATTTCAACAACCACCTGTCTTTAACACAAACAAACACATGACCTCTATGTGTAACCACATGGAAAAAATCTGATCTAAATAAAGTCAAGGCTGCAATTTATTTGGCCCACGCCCACATTCAGGAAACAAGACTTAAAAAAACCCAAAGTGGTGAGACACTTTTTCAGCTTTAGTTTAAGCGTTTAAACAAAGCGTTTATATAATAATCAATTTTTTAAAGGAGTTCCACTTAATTGAAATAACCTTTTGCAATTATTCGCCAACGCCGGAGGCTGCACAGTTCAGAAGTCACACAGAACAAGCAGCTCTGCAGTGAGACTGTCAATGTCAATAGACGTCTCCCTGACAAATGATAAAAGCTGTTCCAAAGCCTGTGTTTTTGACTACAGAAGGCAGGCCTAGGTTATATGTTAGAACAAACACGGTCACCTTGCGTACCATAAATAAATGGAAGGGGAATTTAATTTTGCAGCTGGCACTGAACCAGGAGATGACATGATGCATTAACACTGACATGCAAACACAACACAGAAATATGAACCAGGTAAGGTTACATGCTCTCATGCTGGCAAAACAACCTCACAGGGGGTAGATTATATGAAACTGTATATCATGGTGAAATATAATCTGGAAGCACTGCAAACTTGACTGGTACCCAGTAGAGTGCACGACTAAGGCCCGGCAGTTCCCTGCACCAAATGCACCATGTATCGTTCCAAAACTATTGAGGATACATACAAACCTTAGCTTCCCTACTGAATCTAGATGATCTCAGCTACACATTGGTGCGAGTTGCAGGTTTCAAGGTTCCCAGTTTATTTGTTTACATTCATACTTCAAGTTATGTTAGATTTATAAAACCGGTATCACTTTTATTCATACCCAGGACAATGTTTTATATTCTGTGTGTGTTTATGGAAACAGAGGGACTGACATGGTAACTGAGCCACAACAACAAGCTGTTTTACACATCCGCCCGAAGCTACAGCTATTACATGGAAATACGTCGTCCGCACAGCCCAGCATTTTTATACCCAAACGGAAATATTCATCTTAAATGTCAATGCTGCTGTAAGAGTATACATAAAAGCATCCACAGAAGCACATGACACGCTGTCAATCACCACCACAGACACTGTGTTAAAGCTCTTCAGAGAGAATGGACAGAGCTGTGGCAGAAGCAGCGTTTTGCACAATAACCACAGGGTTTACAAAGAGGGGAGGGGCAGGCCCAGGCCTCCTCCAGTTAGCTTACATTTACACAATCAGAGGTGGAACAGCTTATTAATATTCCCTCATTAGCACATATCACAGCTCATTATGTAAAGGACGAGACTGAGTAAATAATTATTAGAAATAAATAGAGCTGGAATCATATTTACACTTGAACACAATGGAACCGGCTTCGTCTGCACAGTAAGTTAAGCAACTGATATTCTCTTTGGGGAAACCCGACATCAAAGTTGGGGGTGGGGTGTTTACACTTGGGCACTTAAAGACAACACTGTTAGTGTTTCAGCACAGTGCATGTCTGTGAATTATACAGCTGCATGCAGCTGTAGGTCTGCTGCTCTGAGCAAAGACAGTGAGGAAGACTTTGTCCTAAATAGTCGACTGAGGACTAATATCAACTCAACGAGATGTCAGAGCCTAAACATTTTTTAGGGAAACTTTTTAGACAATGAGCTCCACTCACAACTCTACAGGGGCTTGGCAGCCAGCTGGGTTAACAAAAGAGATTCTGTGATAACTACATTTAGCATAAACCAGGCTTATCTCGTGAGCAGGAGGTAAATTCCACAGCTAGTTCTTAGACTTTCCAAAGCACAATGTCTCTGCCGAAGAAAGCCTACAGCCGTTTACTGGAGGCTTCCACATGAAATCTAAATTAGCACATTAATGCTTACAACATCTCAACCCCCCTAAGATACTGTTACATAATTAAAAAGCTGTGAGACACCAGCACCAAAGACATCTCTGTTCAATGTGGGGGGGGGGGCACCAGATGACACAAGTGGGCCTGCACATTTCCAGCACGCTAATTGATTCCCAAATGAAAAGAAAAGAGATTACAGTGACAGGCTTTCTATAAAAGTGATGGTAGAATGTAATGTAAGACTTGTGAGAGTTAGGGTTAGAGTTTAACACTTTGTTACTTCCCTGCTTTACTACAAATGCACGTATAGAAAAAGAATGAAATATAACGCTATTAACAATTTGACATTAGCAGCAGTTTAACATAGAAGGTTTTCAGAATTGTCCTTAAAGGTAGATGGGCTTGTTCAGCCTGTTGCAACCTCAAAAGCAAGCAGGAAGAAGTGCAAACAAGGCGGTGAGAGAGAGAGAGAGAGAGAGAGAGAGAGAGAGAGAGAGAAACAAGCTCTGCTGACAATGATTGTTTCATATCTTCAGAGGACCTGTGCTCTACTTTGCTTGGCATATTGTATATTTATGATATCACTATGGTTGGACGATTATACTCAAGGAAAAATGTGCATCCTTTATAAATGCTACTACTCAAAAAAACAGAAGCTCAAGAGGAAAGCAACTGATATTATCTAAGAAATGACTTGGTGTATTTCATCATAAAAGATTAATTGTAATTTAAAGCATGTGCGTGGAAGAAATAGCTCTTTCAACTTTATTGAAGTAAAATATTTCAGGAAAGCCTGCAGCAGACAGGGTTTCACAAATTCATGCAGCCAACACTGGTCGTGATCAAGTTACACAAACGTCATCTGCTGTTACTCACTGATGTTAAGTGGTTATAGAGCAGTTTGCCTAAAAGGGAAAGCTCCAGGTCACATGCTGAGCATAAACAAATCTCAAAGGGCTTCCCAACGTTAAAGCTTTAGTAAAAGAAACAAGTATAACTGTCTCCTATGGATGGCTTGGGAAATCAAGTGAGTTATTATTAGAAGACAGTCCTACTATCCCTAATTTAAAGTGTTCTTCCGAGTTCCCATTAATGAACCTGAGCCAAGGTACTTTTGGCTGACAGCTTTCTGTCCTTGAATCTTTATCTATGAATAGGCAACAACCCACTGGCACTTAAAGCTCAAATATGCAATGAAGCAATGGCAGCCATGTGAAGACTGTGGTAGGCCATTTTATTTTAAAAATAACAAAATGGAAACACATTAGCTGAAGTTCTGTTGGTATTTTTCATGGGTTACATGGCAAAGCTGGGGAATAATGCAATAGTATTATTTATCCTCTTTTCATATCACTAGTGCAGTGCCCATTCTAAACATGCCTGTTTGCCTGGCCTGTGGTAATGCTGATTGGAGTTTTCTTTCCAAAACTTTAAGAGTGACCTGGAGTAATTGAGTAAAGACTGATTCAGGACTCTGTCCACACAACCCTGAAGCCCCCGCTGCTGAACAAAGAGCTGTTCACCAATCTATTCAAAATTTGGTGAAGCTCATGATCGACAACGTATGTGGATCGATGGAAGGACATGAATTTGAGTTTTTATCTTTTGCCCAATACTCCAGTGAACACTATATCACCGTGTCGTCACATTGCTCAGCCTAGCAGGAGCTGTGAGATAATACTCAGTGACTCGCAGGAATGTTACTTAATCCTCATGGGAAGGCAACACCTCAGGAAACATTTCTAAACAGTTTTTATGACCAAGTCATTTACAAAAAACCTTCATTAAAAAGATGGGCAGTGTTTCCCTCGATAAAAGGGCAAACAGGTCATGGCTAGATGGACTAAATGTATTTCTGCTGATGCCTCTAGCAGTGGTACTCTAAACACTGGACCCAAGAATGACGCCCTTAATGGCCCATTATCATTCATGGGTGACCGGGAGGGACAAGCATAGACTCTGTGCACGCTGCATAACCAGGAGACAAAAAGACATTTCTGCATCAATACTGACCCTTTGAAATATAAATATATAAGGACAAAAAGGATCAGCGAAGAAAGCCTGAAGGGTCGAAACATAAGTGGTGACGGTTCACACGTTCTTAAGTCTTTCCAGCATGACGCCAATTATGGCTTTCAGTGTTCATCTAGTGTAGAGCCGCACTGCAGGAGATAAGATAGGGGAAAGGAGGGCTAGAGAAGTTCAAAGAATCACTCTTGGCACACATCTCAAGTGTCGCCAAGATTTGTAAGAAGGTGATAAGTGGTAAATGCACTCGCACAGCATGTGCAATATTCTTGAACTATAAGATCAAGTGGTGAATCCTGGCTGCTTGTCAATAACGACAGGTGCTGTGCCCTTGCCTATATGCAGCAAGGTTACTGAAAACCAGTAAAGGGTAACAGGTCTTTCACTCGTGAGCTTGTGTTCCCAGCGTCAGCAGAGCCTGCCACTTATTTATCATCTCAAAACCTGGGAACTGTGTACTGCTGCCAGGTAACTAATTGTACACCGCTGGCAAACTGAAATCTGCTGGATCAAGCAAACACAAAAAGACATAAAAAATATTTAAACAGTGGGTTTTTTTATAAAGAAAGTGACTGGTGATGCATTCATTTGATTGTTTTCCTAGAGACCATGGTGTTTAACTGGCTGACCAGCTTTCCTACACCTTTATGTTCCCACGAGAATCAGGAAACGTTACAGAGCAATGTCGGCCTTGTTCCTGACAACAGAGCTGTGAAAAAGATAAGCTTTTGTGAGCCAGTGTTTGATTGTTTGATGCAGACCATTGTGCTCCTCAAGTTGCTTGGGCAAGATTAGCATGGGTTTAAATTATTAATAATGCTGCTGGTGTATGGCATTTCAGTATGACCCACTGTGCAATAACTGCACAAGTACACTGCTGGCTTACACAGGAGATTGCTCACCAGGGTGTGTTTCCAAGTTATAGTGACAGTTGTGATGTCAACACCACTACACCTTATCAACTTACAATAATTCACAAAGCCATCTAGTCAGTGATAGTATCCAATGTCTGTTACAAGCAGGACTGTACACACACCTTCTAGTGATCTGAGTGTGTGAATGGAAAGAAAACGCAGAGAAAATGTTGCTTTAGAAGTAAACAAAAGAAATCAACAAAAGAATGAACATGATAGACACTAGTTCTACCTCTGTGAAGACATGGCCTTTTGTTTCACAAAGATGACAGCAATATTGTAGAAAAGATAGTAAATTATATGAGAGTCCAAGATAATGACATACATAAGAGGTCATTCTTTGAATCACATATAAGAACAATCGCAAACACCGTGAGTCAGGCTAATCATTGAAATGTCCTTATCTTATGGCACATAAAATGATGATATTGACCCAGTGATGCATGGACAGAACAGACAGCCTTCAAACTAATTCATATTCATTACTGCTTTTATTGCTATTGATGTGGTTGCTCAAGCTACATACTAGATATCGAACGATCTTGCTGAAGGCTAGGCAAAGATTTCTAAGATTAAAAGTACATGAAAAGTTTTCTTTGTCATAACCCTTCAGTGCTAAGTCATAACCTAAATAGTAAACGGAAGATAAGCTGCGTAACGCTTGTGACACATTGACCAAAGCTTTGCCTTAGGTGTGGTTCCCAATGCTGTACCTGGAATCTTCCCGACACAATATAGATAAGCTAAATTGTAAGGCCCATATTCCTTCACAGATTTGCCAGATCTTGTTACTTTGGACTCCACAACAACAAATGCATTCATTAAACTTACCTATAGAGTTGTATATTTTGTTAAAACAAGGTCGGACGTAGAGTCTTATACTGCCAATTCATAATAATTCCGCCCCTTCTGAGACACTGCTTTAATTTTTTACATTCATTAAAAAAGTTAAATACGACTCTTAAGGGACACAAGGATTATACAGGTGATTTGAAGGTTAAGCCAGTAAAACTGATAATATCTCCCTCCTTAGTTATCAGCCATTGTTTACTCTAGATAAGAATTATTTTACGGTATGGGCAGCTCTCTTAGGGAACAATTGCTATATACAGGATTGAGAGAAAAAGTAGCATTGAAAGTGTGTTAATCAGAACATTTTTCTTATAAAATCAAAACTTTCTGGAGTAATGTAAGTAATGTAAAGTTTTCACTGTAACTGGGTAAAACTGGGGGACAACAAGGTTTAACACAGATGGCGGACCAATCCACAGCTGCTATAGTGTAACAGGAAAGTAAAATTCTAAACATGTAATATATAAAACTATAAAACTTCCACAGTCCTGAGAACAAAGCCATTTCTCCTACCTCTATTTTCATTCACAACCTCTACCACAATCTGTGGTTTATGACATATATGACTTAACAGCCGGAAAATCAGTGATGGCACTATTGTATTGTTTTATCCTACATATAAGAATCAAGGTCCAGATTGCAGCCCAACTCTCACATTGACAAAATACAGTTTACACAGATGACAGGATCTTGTGTGTGTGTGTAGATTTAATGGCACACACCTTCTCTTCAAATTGTTTGGGTGGTTATTAATTATACATGGAAGGTGAGACTAACTGGACTTGTTAGACATGTTACAAGGCAGGAGGGGAACACTGGAAACAAGCGGCTTCACAGGCAACAAGGTAATTTAACAGAGGCTTGTCCCACTGCCCGCTAATGTATGACTAGAGAGTAATATCTGAGGTCATATCGAAGGATCAGTCGGAAAGTCAATGCCTGGTGGATGTTTGATAAGAATACTTTACTATGTTGCAGTAAACACATCGATGTTTATAACTGCCGGTGAGCTTTTGTTCATGCTTTAATTTGTTACATATTAATTTCAAAATAAGACTATGGAACAAGGTAATATAGATAATAGCTTGGTGTCATGTATTCTAGCTGATTATAACTGTAACAGATCCTTTCAACTTCATCCTTCTACTGAACAGAGGTCAATGAGGTTAATGAGGAGAAATGGGTTAATATAGAATAGTTATTTCTGTGCTATAATAATCTGCAACCTAAAAACATGAGCCAATATACAAGATGACTCATAAATATAAGGACTTAACCAATTACTTTAACAAATAAGGTTAGGTAAAGCCTGACCACCTCATCGATTGGTCAATAAAAATCTATATCAGCAATTAAGTTTGCTAGTATGAAAACTTTTATTTTACACAATAAACAACACAGAAAAACATTTCTATTTTATATTTATGATTATTTTTCTAACTCAAGTTCTACATGTTATACTGTTTTCTAAATGTTTTAGCTATTTATGACGTTAATGGTTCCGCTTCAAAATATCAAGCCTAATTTACATTTTTTGGTCATAAGGGTGTAAATAACGACATCTTACGTGATGAATATACTAATATTAATATATCTGCCATTGTATCAGGAATTTTTTTAACTGGCCAATATCGATACTGACATCGGGCACACACATCCATATCGGCCAGGTTCTACTGGGGCAAAATCGAAGTGAAACTACACTCACTGGCTTTTGATTTATATGAAAAGCTTCTGCACAGGATATAATCATTCATGAGAAGTACATGTGTGTGAACAAGAACAGAAAGGCACCATGCACACAGGCAGGGTTGCTTAAGAGGTAAATGGTCTGTGGATGTGCTTTTAGGCCTGTACAATATTGGGTTTATGGGGATGAATAAGAGACAAGGCCATGGCTGAACAGTGTAGCAGTCACATCAAATTACCCACAGCCCATTTTCAGCGGTTGTGAGACAATCAAAGGCTTAAGGTCACCACTGTCTACTGCTGCTGTCAGCTCACACACACTCAATCCAGTCTCAAATCTTTTCTGCCTCCCTTCTCCTTCACACTTTCATAATTCCTCCAACTATCTTGCTGACATCTCTCATTTTCACTCCACGTCCTTGAGCTGTGTCCTCACGTTGATCTACCCGAGCCAGGTGGTCCCTCACTTGAGACACAGGGATTCTTGCCCAGACAGTGAGGCAGTGTCCCCCCTGGCTACACACTGGTGCTCAATCAGGCCCCTGGTATCGCAGGCAACTGACAACCTTCTGGCTCTCAGGAAAAATGCTGCAGAAGAGGACAATGCATGTCTTATGTGGATATACAAGGAAGTACTGACAGGAAAGATCGGACAAAGAGGACATGAGTAAGAGTGAAAAGGAATGGAGAGGGGAGGAGCAACAGAGAAGTCTTATAATGTGGATCAGAGTTGAAAAAAACTAAAGAGGTCCAACTCTAATTTCCCTGTCGCTTTTGAGACATTCATCACGACAGTGTCACAAGGCTTTGGCACAAAACAGAGGGAGGTTTCGTCTACGTTGAAAACTTGCCAGATAGTTGCTCTCCAACATCCACACGGATGCATCGAGCTGCTTAGTCATCACTGTGGTGAGGAGCGAGTGGAGCCCCAAACACAAGAAGCTGACAGATCTGATGAGTAATCTGTGTGACCAGCAATAAAGATTTACGCTGACTTCTTGACCGGGGTGAGATGTTCAGGTCAAACCTAAGTCAGCATGTACCAGTGGGATCGTTGCTTAGTGTGCAGAATGGAGGAACGGTAGGGTGACGCTGTGGTCAGGGATTATCTTGAGACTGTGAAGTGATCAGATTCAATGTGAGCCTGTCAATACGAGGCATGTACTCTGACATGTCACATGCTATCTCTGCTGGGGTTATCTATTATTTCATCACCAGGCATACAGTTGACACACCTTCTATTCAACAAGTGGCTTTGATTCAAAGCCCAGTCTGATAAAAAAAAAAAAAAAACAGACTGTTTGTGTTGGTGTGCAGGCACCTGAGCGACTGGCTGCAAACTTACCTGCAATGTTTTCACCTGAAACCGAGGCCACATCACCTGGAGCTAACACAGGTGAAGCTAGCATTTCTTGACAGTGCAGGACTGAAATGCAGGATGAAGGACATCCACATGCTACTCACCTAATTTCATTAAAGAAGCCAGGAGCACCCATAATGAGATTTCAAATGGCATCTGTATGTGGTGGTAGTCGATGCTGAGCACAGGGAAAGCCTTCTTGGTGAAATTATGTCCGGCGTCCGCGGTTTTCTCGTTGCCTGGATCTGGCTGCTGGTTGTGATCCGGAGAGCTGGCGGCTCCGAGGGGGAGCACGGATCCCTCCAGGAGCACCAGAACCACCAGCAGGAGCAGCCCCCGCTCCGGTAGCCTCCTCCCGGATCCGGCCGGGCCAAGCGAGCCTGTCCTCGAAGGCATGTTGTCGAGAAAGTAATACTAATATTGAGTTCAAAAGTCCGCTTGGAAACCTAAGCACGTTCGAGGAAGTTGAGTTTCTCACAACTTCGTATTGTTTGGTTCGTTAATTAACTCGTCAAATCGCCGAAATGACTTTAGCGGTGGGTTCGGCTAGCTTACACCGAACCTGGAGCCCGTTCTCCGCGGGGACGTAAGCTAGCTTGGATCCGGCGCTGGATCCCGTCGCCAGGTGAACACTCGCACCGACACAGGCCGGAGGAAGAAGACAGGGAGCGGCCGGAGGAGACTTTTTTACAATAACGCTGTAAAAGTAAAAGCTTTTCCTTCTCTGTCCATTTTGTTTTCACACACCGGCGTTTCCTAAGTTTGTCCCCCCGCTTCTCTGTCAGTGGCTCTCGGTGTCCGTGGACGATGTCCCTGCTGATGCTGGAGGTAACAGAGGACACAGCGGTATCCACTCCGCGCCTCGCCGAGGACGGGTCCTCTCCGACAGACAGAGAAAGTCGTCCGTGAGGCGGCGGTGCTCCGATGCTGACCTTGAGGAGTAGCCGCACGGCTGCCACATCATATTCCCGCCGTGTGTCCTGAGTGTCTCAACTTTTCTCTTTTTTTTACTGTCAGTGTCCGTGTGGATGCGGCATCCCACTCCCCTCAGTAAGTCCCCGGGAGGACAGGAGCTTGGTTGGCGGCCCAGCAGCGCAGAGAGACGGCGGGGTGAGGAGCGGAGGAGACTCTGGGTGTGTTGATGATCCCCGGCTCCGGAGGCTCGTCCCGGGTTGTGAAGCCTCAGCGGGTCGCGCTTCTGTTTAGCTCGGTACAACCTTCAAAACACACACCCTGGGAGGAGGAGGAGAGGAGGAGGAGGAGGAGAGGAGGGGAGGGGAGGGGGAGGCCGACTATAGTGACACCTATAGGAATGGAGGTTTGAGGCGTCTCATGGGGAGAGAATGACAGAAAATCTCCTCAACTGCATCTCCTGAAATACATTTCACCTTCACACATCTGTGCATGGATGGGATGTGTTTACTCTGTGTTGCTAATGACAGTAATCTGATACTGGTCTGGTCTCACAGGGACGCCGTATGCCAGAGAGGTCAGGGACGGTAAAAGGACGCAACCCGGAGAGAGAATGGTAGGTGGTCTGTATTTATATCACGGACGACACATACGAGGGATAACCTCCATCTTGTCCTGTGTTCTAAAATGGGACAGCATAGAACAAAAGGCATAGAGGTAATGATGTCTGATCCACATGTTTTTCTGCCATACAGACCAATAGTCAATTAGATTTACCTTTAGCCTCAGCATACCCTCAAGTTTGTACCAAAACACTTGATGACGCGAAGGCGCACACCTGAGGTGATGTCCCTAACATCCGCTGGTGGTCATGAACAGCTGAAGAAAAGAACTGTCTATTTGCTGCGTGGTCTGTATTTACTTCTGAACATGTAGAACGCCTGAGGATGCAAAAACATTTGTAGTTATTTCTTCCCTCAAGGACACTTTGGGGGACCATTATAAATGCTGGCTGTCATTGAGCCGTCAGCTTTAACGTTTTTCACCTTGAATCACTCCGTCCTCCTGCAGATTGTTATTGTTAAGGGAAGCTTGTCCACTGAAAACCTCAGCTATATGTTATTTTACAAAACTGTAAGCAGCCCATCACAGAAGTGCCATCAAATGGATCATCATGGAGCCCTTATAGCCAACCCTGATGATATCAATATGATTATAGAAGCGTGCCTTTGCCTTAATCTCAGATGCCAGAGGACACTGGTTTGCTCCATGATCTGAATACTTATTAAGCTTGATGTGACCCAGCATTATGCAGTGATATTTGCCATGGCAGACTGAGGAGTCAGGGGGTGCATACATTTGCAGAAATCAAGCCTGAATATAAAGCTCAATCTAAATGTTGTTTAAGGACTTTTAGTCTACACTGTCAGAGGTCAGGTTCAGCCTGAATAGGAGAGCAGCAAACAGTGAACACACAAAAAATAATGAAGTTATAAATGCTTATGTTTAAAGATATATATTCTGCACCACACTGTGTTTCTGGTGTGTAGCAGTGGGAGTGGCCTTGGACTTGCATTGTTTGTTCAGTATTATGACTCAACTTTTCCAACATAGTTTCCAGGTACACCTTTCTACATTTATCAACACAGAACTGACCTGATAACAAAAGCATTGATTTGACGCAGGCCTGTTTAACAAGGGTCACTTAGGTCATTGTAGGTTCATGAAAGCAGTAATAATCATTGCTTTCTACAGATCAGGAGTATATAAAACATAGCTTTTACAATTATAGATTAATTGACCAGTTTATTTAAAAAATATATATACTTGAAATTATACTTAGTAGTATTTTCTTAAGGTATTTATCAAGCACTTAATCAGGAACACCATGTACTGGGCTAAGCTAACAAATAGAGGTCCATTTGCTCTCAAACAGCCTCAGTTCTTTGCTGAATGAAGTCCACAAGATACCGGAAACATTCCTTAGAGATTCTGGTTCTCAACATCATTGCATATCTTAATTTCTGAACATTCACGTCCTGTCCTCCTCCCAATGTCCTTTTCTATCACATCCCAAAAGCAATCAATTAGATTCAGATGTGGGAACAGGGGAGACCATCAAATTACTCTCATTGTGTCATATTCTTTGTTACATGGTTGTAGCCATTAGGAGGCTGTGTAAGCTATGGTCATAAAGGAATGGTCAGGGTAAACAACAACACTCAGAGAGGCTTGGCATTCAAAGGATGAATGATTGGTAATAAGGGACCCAAACTGTGCCAGGAAAACATTATCATTGTACTGCTGTCATGAGATTTTCTGATTAGGTAATTGTATAAATTAGCAGAGATGTTAATGGATATTGTCTGTTAAATACATATTCTTGCAGATCAGCTTCTGCCCTTCCACTGATGTTTGTGAGAACAAACCCTGGTTGTACAGTTTGTCTCTGTTACTGTGATGAAACCAGAAATTACAGTAATATATGTTGAGAAGTGCTTATTATTGGAGTCCCCAACAATTAGGCCTCTAACAAGAAATGAACACATTCTCTGATTATAGTTTTGTGCTTGAAAAGCTGTTTTCCCAACTTTTAGACAAAAAATTGACGAGTGAAAACGATAATTGTTCTGAGGCTAAACTGAGAAACAAAACTGGATTAGTTAATGTCTAGTCCATCAGTATTAGTAAGATATGGTTGGCGTTGATAACAGTGCGCTTAACAAAACACACACACACACACACGCACGCACACACACACAGACACACACACAGACACTTAAAGCCGGTCAGAGTTCAGGCGACATGGTGTCTACACTGTTAGTCATTTCTGTGCCTCTCTATGTCTTTATCACTCTTTATGACTGCGAGGCGCTTTATGTTTTACAGCCGTATCGAGCTGTAGAGCTTCATATTTCCACCGCATTAACAAACTGCCCCAAACAGGGGAACACCCCACATCCCTTGTGCTGTTGTTACTTTTGTCACTCATAACATTTTTATTCTTATATTTCTGCTCTAATGTTGTGTGATCTTTAACCTTCCTATCGTTTGGTGATCAACTTTGGGGCTCGCAGGATAAATTTAACAACAATTTGCCATAACTTCAAAAAGGATAAAACAATTGTTTAAATTTAGAATAACAAAATAAAAATAAAGAAAATATGTGATTAATGTTCAGATTTGAGTTGTTCCCACGTGACCCCTGAGTTGATTTTAGCAGATTAGCATCAGTTGCAGTTGGTCACATTACAGCATCACAGGAAACTGCAACGTGTGCATGTAAGTGTGCTCTCTATCCTTTATGTTCCTCAACAATAATGGGGGGTTATAGGAGGTGGGAGGGTAATGGTCTGGGAACCCTGGATGTAAACCATACCAAGAAAGACAAATATGGGGTTGTACCCAGTCAACTTCACGTTGGAACACAAATCCATAACCTTTACTTTACACCGTCAGCTCTGTTGTGATTCAGCTGTGATGCCAAGAACTTTCTGCAGATTTCTACTTAATGATTCCAAATGTCATTAAATCCTTGGAGAAGATAATTGGAGGCATGTTTCTGTGGTTAGTGGATATGAGGTAAATTATTCAGGATGCCGCTGGCCTGACGTATTTTCTGTTAAAACTACTTACACCAAATAGACTGTGGGCATCGAGGCCACATGAACTGAATGCCCTTTGGGTTCAGAGCTGTAAACCATTCTGCATCCTACAACCGAAGCCAGAAATTCAGATTTGATCAAAGATAAATTGTACCCTCCTAAAATAAATCCCCTGGCTGGAGAAAGGCGCAGCATGTGGAAATCTTTGTATTCATCAAAGATCAGGGGGAAAACTATTTTTATTGAACTGTAGTAACCAAGCCTGCAGTCCAAATCCTATTTTCTTCTGCTTCTGGGAGGTGTTCTATCAAATTCCTGAAGCTAAAGAAAGCACAATGATAGAAGTCAATGTTCTCTCTTTCTCAAACTGTGCAATTACACATGTTCAGAACATAAAACTCTACAGGCTCAAACCCCAAAACACTTTTTGTTGGGTTTGAAGTTTTCTGCTTTTATCTGCAGGAGCTGTGTCACAGAGTCTATTTCACACAAACCACTCACTGTGGAGCAAAACAAGTTTATCATTGGCAAGTGACACTTGAAATTACAATAAAAAGATGGTTCAAAGTTTTATTATATCCACTTGATTAATTTGTAAAAAGTGAACCTAATATTCAAAACCTATTGAGCACACCGATTCACATTTATTTATTCACACAAACAGAACACATACAAAGGTAAAATAGGCTACACTGAGCCTTCAATGTGAAGCAACATACACCAATCATACACCAACGTTAAATTGTAAAAGGATTGTATTTAGATTTATATTATTAGATAATATATTATGATGTTATATCAACCACTTAAAATATTTTACAGCAGAAGACACATTCACCCATTCACACAAATTAATACAGTGCTTCTATACACTCCTATTAGACACGTGGACGACGCTCTCTACATCGACGACATTTATAGAGCTGTTTGTTTTTCCTCAGAAGTGTATTTGCTGTGTTCATCTTCAGGCTTACCTCAGGATCCACCGCTGTCACCTGTAGGATTTGTGATGATGAGCCAGCAGGAGTCTGGGGTGAGACTCGATGAAACAAACGTTGACGTGACGCCACCGCAGATAATCTCTGTAAACGATGACGAGCTCTGACAGAACGTCTCTCAGCAGCAGGGACGAGAAACAAAGACAATTATATTTAAGAGCACCCTGTAGAGCAGAGGTGGTGATCTGAGGATTCTCTGGGTTAACAGTCATTTTGACATCTATGGTCTGTGTCTCACTCTCTCTGTATCTGGTCTCTTTCAACAGGATTGAGTTTGTTGCTACAAACCTTTTTTTATTCCTGTTTCCTACCAGCCACTGCAAATATCACTGCTCTAACTCCTGCCAGATCCCATCATGCCTAATAACAGTCACCCCAGCAGAGCACCACTGTCCTCAGGGTGTAATTTCCATCATCTTAGATTAAGGCATATTTTCATAATTATGGCCATGTGGTGGACATGGAACTTGAAGCGTCAGACAATAATCCTGGTACTGTAATGTCTCGTTCAGAGCTTACTGCTGCTGACAGGATGCTGTAACCAATCATCATAAAATGACCGAGAATTATCGTAATACAGAGCATCGCAGAAATATCACATACATGCAGCAGGATGATTTATCTTTACTTGAAACGTGTGTGTGTGTGTGCAGAGAAGTTTAGTTCGGCCAACTT